AGCAGGGACAGCTCTCAAAGGCGTCGAGGGACAGAAGGCAGCTTTGAAAGTTGTGGCGCTATGGTGCTGGTTGTGTAACGTTTTAGAAAGACCAATGCTGTGGGGACGGAGAGCAGACCAGGTTTTGTCAGAGGTGAGGGGCTGGCAGAGGGGCTGACAACAAAGGACAAGGAGGGGAAATGTGGGGAGTATTACGCTGCCCTTTGTCCTGACTGAGCTGCCCACACAAGCCTTCGCACAGCTAATGCCCATGGAACTGATCCCCACAGAAACTTGGGCAATTGACTCTAAGTGCATTTGGAAAATTAAGGGGCCAAAGACAAACTTGGTACTTTTTAATTTAATTTTTAAAATAGGTATATCTGCCACCTCTGTGTTCAAGAAAGCACGATTATTCTTTTTTAGAATTTTAAAGTTACATTTACTGTGTGTGTGCACACACGTGTGCCATGACATGCATGTGCAGGTTGAGGGACAACCTGTGAGAGTCAGTTCTTTCTTTCTATCACGTGTGGGTCCCAGGGATTGACCCCCAGATCAGTAGGCCTGATGGCAGGTGCTTTTACCTACTAAGCCATCTTACCAACTTTCCCCCGCTTTTAAAACTTTATTTTTTAAGCTTTTGTGTCCCCCTTATTAATCTTAAATGAATTTACCCTCCTGTTGTGTCAGATACATAAACGATTTTACAGACTTGGTGATTTTAAGGCCTTAAGCCAAAATAGCGTATTTAACTCTTATCTGTGATACACACTAATTGGGCCATAATGCACATTTAATGGACTTCGCAATCTCTCCAAAAACTAGATAACCATTTTGCAGTATTTGGAACATACTCTTACATTTAATTTTATTTTTCATTTAGTTATTTTTGCGACAGAATCTTGCAATGGGCTCCGTGCTTGTGACCCTCCAGCTTCAGCCTCCCAAATGTCAAGATTATAGGCATTCACTAACATACCTGGCTTAATTTAATCATTTTAAATGGCTAAATAAAATTATATAGATGTTTAAATTTGCTCTTATAAAGTTTTTTGGTTACAAGTACAGGTTAATTGGGTGTTAGCACACAGTGACCACACCCAAGTTGAAACACCTTTATGAGCCTGGGCCACTTGCTTCACAAGGATCATTTTTATGGCCCAGTCAGCTGCAAACATTTTGTGTCAAAGTGGCAGGGACTGTGTCCATGCAGGCAGTGAATTCATGTGCCAGCTTCCGAGGGGAGTAGTCTGGACTGTACTTATCTGATTTTACTGGGTAAAAATACAGCAGTTTTTGAGATAAATTTTCATGGCAATAATCACACCAGGATGGCCCTCCCCATCCTGTTGCTTAGGCCAACAATCCAGACAGAACAGTATGTGGTGTTTGGATTCTAGTCCCAACACCATCTATTGGGACCAGTTAATCCAACTCTTGGGAGTTCTTTTGTCACATGATTTAAATGTAACATGTCTTTGTACCGTTATTCTCCGTCTTACCGTGTGGTCGGGACTGTGGAGTCGCAGTGTAGCCTGTGGCCGACACATCTTCTTTTCTTCAGCTTTCTTGTTTACTGTCTTGCTTTCTCACATCTTTTACATGTTTTTAGTAAGACTGGCCTAAGGTTAAAACACAACTTGCTATGCTGAGTGCCGCTCTTTGCCTCTCTGTGCCATTGGGTACTGTGTTAGAGCGTGGAAGTGCAGGTGAGATGATTGTCCTCGGAGTTCTGGTTTATGGGAAGAAGACACATTCCTAATACAGGCTGGTGAGGACCTCAGTGCATGAGGGTTGGGGACTGCCTGAGTGGTAAAGAATGAGGCCTGGGCAAGGCTGTGGGCACTGTTTAAAGACTGTTTGCCAGTCAGTAAAGGGGAGAGGGCACCGAGCTGAGACACCGCAGTTCATGACCAGGTGTGGCGGTGAGCACCTGTAATCCCAGCAGGTCGGAGGCAGAGGCAGGAAGATCACAACAAGCTGAAGACCACCCTAGTGTTCCTAGTGTACATGGTAAATTCCAGGTCAGTTTGAGAGAGAGAGAGAGAGAGAGAGAGAGAGAGAGAGAGAGAGAGAGAGACTGGCTCAGCTTCTGGCTGCTCAGCTTAGGGGCTGAGAGGTTTCTAAGGAAAACAGGGCAGAGGCAGGCAACAGGAACCACAGTGTCTGCATAGAACTTTGTTTGAGTTTTTCCTGAGGGCTTCGGGACCCAGTGAAGGAGTCCAGTGAGGAACAGGGTCATTGTTAGAGGTGCACTGGAGGTGGTAGGTTGTATGTCTGTGTGATGGGAAAGGAGAAAACATTGGAGACCAGTTTGAAACTATCACCATCATCCAGAATGGTAGAGGGCATGAGAAGAGGATCGAGATGAAGAGAACATTAAGTAGTTTAAATTACAGGGGCTCAGAGGAGAGCTGAGGAGCTGGGGACTTATTTAGGAGGTATTCAACATCTTAACATGATGCTGTCATTGAAAGTTGTTGTAAGCCACACTCCACATGTGAGTGGTCAGATGCCATCAGTACCCACTGTTATAGGTCAGATTTCAAATAAAAATCATCAACACCACTTGATTGAAAGCAGCAAGGTGAAGTTTTATTATGGCCGACTGGGCTGTCTATGTTGGGAATAGAAACAGCCTTGAACACCAGTCAGCCGGAATATTTATAGGAATACAGAAAGCAAAACAAGTGAGCCAATCAGGTTTATACAACACAGCAAAATTTGAACATAGCAAACTTCGAATTTTCCAATCAACTAATCGGTCATTGTGTGGACATGGGCTTGGGTAAGCGAAGCAGGTTTACAGAAGCAAAATAAGTGGTTAGTCAACTGCCAGCCTAGATTACAATACCTTATGGTATGCGGTCAGGCCATTTCTCAGAATTCAAAGTTGCTTCTCCCTTCTAGGTATATTTTTTTTTTTCTTTTTGTTTTTTTGAGACAGGGTCTCCCTGTAGCCCCAGCTGTCCTGGAACTCACTATGTAGACCAGGCTGGCCTTGAACTCACAGAGATCCACCTGCCTCTGCCTCCCGAGTGCTGGGATTAAAGGCGTGCGCCACCATGCCCAGCCCTTCTAGGTATCTTTCATAAGCCGGGTAAAAGGCACTTCTCCTGAAATGGCTGCTTTGGGCAAAGTGGAGTAACTTAGGCTAAGTTTAGCTGAGATAGTTCACCCACAGTCTGGAGATGATGACATCGAGATACTGATTTCATTGTTATTTTAGAGAAAGAGACAAAGACACATCATGAGGTTACAGAAGTTTGTGAGTACCACACTTGCTTTGGAAGAATGTTTGACGGTACCCAGGCTTTGGAGGCGGAGCCTGGTGGCAGGAAGATGCACAGTGTCCTGATAGACTAGTGACAGTGAGAAGAAAGTGATGACACTACTCTAAATTAGCACCTGGGGCTGGGGAGACAGCTCAGCGGGCAAGTGCTTGCCATCAAGCGTGAGGACCTGAGTTGGGCCCACAGCACCCATGTAAAAGCCATGTAGCCCTATGCACCTGCAATCCCATGCTGGGGAGACAGAGGACGAGGGACCCCTGAGACCTGCTGGCCATTCAGCCTAGCCAGTCGGTGAGCTCCAGGTCAGTGAGACCCTGTCTCATAAAATAAGTGGAAAGTGATAGACAAAGACACTGATGTCTACCTGTGGCCTGCACATGCACAGTTGCATATGCACATGTGTACATATGCATACACACATGCAAACACATATAACACACACACGAACACTTACATGCAACTTATACATACATACAGCATGAGGATGTTGGTGTGGATAGCAAGGGGAAGCCACGGGCACCTTTGGGTGTGACAGTGTCATCACTGCACCTGGAAATTGTCTCCAGGATTATGAACCATGTGTGGTCTGTGGGCTGCAGAAACACAGGTCTTTGACTCTCCAACTGAAAATCTCAGGTCTAGATAATAGGCTTGTAGCTCAAGGAAGCCAAATTCTCTTCAACTGAAATGTCTATCAAGGCAGCTTTGGGTGGGTCACAATGCCAAGTCCCTTCTCTCTGGCTCTCCCATCTCCTGGACACACACCAATGCAGTCACTTGCCAGTGTGATTTTTTTTTTTTTTGATGAGTTATAGTTTAAGAAAGATGGTGGTTTGGAGTTCAATGTGAGGGAATGTCCAGCTAATTGCACAATTAATTCTAGGTCTTGAACTAAGGATGTAACTGTGTGGTAGAGCCCTTGTTTCACATGCATGAGAAAAAAGGCAACCAGAACTCAGGAAGGGTCAGGAAGGGTTATGACTGAGAAGTGTGCTTTCCTGTAACAGGTAGATCTTCAAACACAGCTCATCTGTGTGTGTGTGTGTGTGTGTGTGTGTTCATGTGTCGACGTGTTCATGTGCATGCACATGCATGTGGAGACCAGAGCTCAGCCTTAAATGCTACTCCTCAGGTACCATCCACCTTGCTCTTTGAGACCGTCTCATCTGCCTGGAGCTCACCCATAGCTAGGTAGGCTAGTCAGGTAGCCCTGGACGTAACAGGTGGGTTTTTAATGGTTTTGAATGCAGAAGTTTTCAGACTTTATTTCCAAAGCCGGGCAGCTCTGCCTGGTGGCTTCCTCTGAAGGCTGAGCCTGGAGTGCAGGAAATCTTTGCTTCCTTTTCTGTGAAATGCTGTCACAGTATGCAGTAGAAGACTAAGTCAGCTGGTTCTTATCAAGCCCTTAGGACAATGCCTGCCAAGTATTAGTCAATCAGCCCACATTTCAATTGATACTGAAAATGGTTGTGTAACTGTCACCTATTTATTATAATCGCTTACCTTCCCCTGCCTTCTACTCAGTCTCCACTTGAGTACACATAAAACAAAGGACATGCACAACTTCTTTGACAGGACTTGAGCCTGTCAGGTCTTTATCATCACCCCTCCCCGACCCACGACAGGAGATTTTGGAAAGCGGGAAAGTAGAGAACAAAATGTTCATTGCCGTCAGCAGGCATAACTGAATAAACCTTTTTCCCTGGGAACACTCTTATTTCTTAGGTATATTAAAGACACAAACATCAAAAATGACCCCAGTCAACTCAACAATCTCATCAAGAAAAACTCTGATGTGGTAACATGGACCCCACGGCCTGGAGCGACGTTGGACCTGGGCAGGATGTTAAAGGACCCGGCAGACAGGTTTGGTTTAAATAGTTAGGGGGAATAAAGATGCCTACACATATATCTTCAGTATTATGATAGAAGTCTCACCTCCTGACCCTTGATAGGTCCCTATTCATAGTAATATTAAGTTTTGTGGAGTACCATTTAATATCAATCTTCTTGCATAAGATCCACTCCTCACTTTTTAAAATAAAAATCTCTGGGCTAGGCAGGGATTTACCATACACCTGTAATCCCAGCACTTAGAGGCTGAGGCAGGAGGATTAGGCCAGACTAGATGATTTGAGAACTTGTCTTAAGAAAAAGAAATGTTTACTATGCTAATAAACTACCTAATAAATAACATCCACATTGAAGGGAGAAGCAGTTTTCCTCCAGCTTTTTGTCCTATGCAATTGTGCAAGTGTTTCCCTAGCCTTAGAACCATACTATAAAGAGTACCGGGCTGGACAGATGGCTCAGAGCACTTGCTGCTCCCAGCACCCAAGTGGGGCGGCTCACAACTGTCTGTAACTCCAGCTCCAGGGAATCCAACACCCTCTTCTGGCCTCCACAGGTCCCCACACGCATGCATAACCACACACAGACATACACATAATTTTTAAAAAAATCTTAAAAAGAGCAAGTGTGTTTTGTTAGTGATCATTTATACAATCCAAAACTATCCTCTCTTACGTAAATAAGCAGTAAGATTGTTTTCCTGTCAGTGCAAACATGATCTACAAAATAGGTAGAGCACCTGAGCAGGTGATGATAACGCGGGAAAATGCAATTGGAAAAAGCTAAGGTGGATACCACAAAGCTATAGTTTCATAAGTCCTTACCTTGAGCCACACAGAACCAGGAGTTTCCCACCCACATTTAGCAATGCACGTATTGGGGGAGGTGTCCACAAGGACAGATCTGGGACTCCCCTGGGGGTAGGGATCCTGAGTTCCTTGATCTGAGATAAAGCCACAGCAAAGCATTCTGGGAAACAAGAGTCAATATGGTTACATTTCAGCGCTGACACGCAGTGTAAGGCACACATGATGTATCAGTTACTTTTCTGTTACTGGAATAAAAAAATATGACCAAGGCAACTTATACATGAAAGTTGATTCGGCTTACAGTTCCAGAGACAGAGTCCGCAGTAGCAGGGGAGGCGTGGCGGCAGGAAGAGGCCAGAGCAGAAAACTGAGTACGCACATCTTCAAGCACCCACAAAAGCAGGGAGAGGCAGACCGGAAGCAGGGACGGCTTTGAATTCTCAAAGCCCTCCCCCCAGTGATGTGCTTCCTCCAGCACAGCCACACCTGAAGGTTCCGTGACCCTCCCCAAACAGTGCCATGAATTGGGGACTGAGTGTCCAAATACTTGGAGCCTATGGGTGACATTCAAAGTGCTGTGTGCTCAGTTACCTCGTGAGTGAACGGGAGGGAGCGGGAAAGCCACGTGGTCACAGAAAGCTCAGTCTGGAGTCCTCTGCATTCAGGCAGGTCTTAAGACTTAAGGAGGCTGTAAGAACAAGGGGGAGGGACGGGAAGGGAAGGGAGGCGAGGGAGTGAGGCCAGGGAGAGAGATCGAGGCTTTCCAATCAGAGGCTGAGGCAATAGACTCATGAAACCGTGGACCCGATGACTGCAGGTCTTTGAAAGTGAGCGCTGTGTGCTCTTGACTCACACATGGTTTACTGAGCACATTCTGCATTTGGTCTCTGCCTCATGCCCCTCACAGCCCGGGGACTCGGGGCCGATGAACACAAGCAGAGGGGAGGGAGGAGACGGAGAGCCCAGAAGGAGGTCAGGGTTGGCAAAGCCTCCCAGGGCAAGGAGCTCACCCGCAGCTGAGAGGCACAGAAAACAGCAAAGCGGAGAAGTGGTTCCTGAGCTGTGCTTTGCAAAACACATCTCAGTTTTGCAGAGAATGTTCTAGGAAGGAGGTTGTTGGTAAACAGTGGAGTTGGGGAGGCCTGGAGCAGGCCGTGGTGGGAGGCCTGGAGGAGGCCGTGGTGGGAGGCCGGGGGGAGGCGGTGGGGGGGGGCCGTGGGGGGAGGCCGGGGGGAGGCCGGGGGGGGAGGCCGGGGGGGGAGGCCGGGGGGGGAGGCCGGGGGGGGAGGCCGGGGGGGGAGGCCGGGGGGGGAGGCCGGGGGGGGAGGCCGGGGGGGGAGGCCGGGGGGGGAGGCCGGGGGGGGAGGCCGGGGGGGGAGGCCGGGGGGGGAGGCCGGGGGGGGAGGCCGGGGGGGGAGGCCGGGGGGGGAGGCCGGGGGGGGAGGCCGGGGGGGGAGGCCGGGGGGGGAGGCCGGGGGGGGAGGCCGGGGGGGGAGGCCGGGGGGGGAGGCCGGGGGGGGAGGCCGGGGGGGGAGGCCGGGGGGGGAGGCCGGGGGGGGAGGCCGGGGGGGGAGGCCGGGGGGGGAGGCCGGGGGGGGAGGCCGGGGGGGGAGGCCGGGGGGGGAGGCCGGGGGGGGAGGCCGGGGGGGGAGGCCGGGGGGGGAGGCCGGGGGGGGAGGCCGGGGGGGGAGGCCGGGGGGGGAGGCCGGGGGGGGAGGCCGGGGGGGGAGGCCGGGGGGGGAGGCCGGGGGGGGAGGCCGGGGGGGGAGGCCGGGGGGGGAGGCCGGGGGGGGAGGCCGGGGGGGGAGGCCGGGGGGGGAGGCCGGGGGGGGAGGCCGGGGGGGGAGGCCGGGGGGGGAGGCCGGGGGGGGAGGCCGGGGGGGGAGGCCGGGGGGGGAGGCCGGGGGGGGAGGCCGGGGGGGGAGGCCGGGGGGGGAGGCCGGGGGGGGAGGCCGGGGGGGGAGGCCGGGGGGGGAGGCCGGGGGGGGAGGCCGGGGGGGGAGGCCGGGGGGGGAGGCCGGGGGGGGAGGCCGGGGGGGGAGGCCGGGGGGGGAGGCCGGGGGGGGAGGCCGGGGGGGGAGGCCGGGGGGGGAGGCCGGGGGGGGAGGCCGGGGGGGGAGGCCGGGGGGGGAGGCCGGGGGGGGAGGCCGGGGGGGGAGGCCGGGGGGGGAGGCCGGGGGGGGAGGCCGGGGGGGGAGGCCGGGGGGGGAGGCCGGGGGGGGAGGCCGGGGGGGGAGGCCGGGGGGGGAGGCCGGGGGGGGAGGCCGGGGGGGGAGGCCGGGGGGGGAGGCCGGGGGGGGAGGCCGGGGGGGGAGGCCGGGGGGGGAGGCCGGGGGGGGAGGCCGGGGGGGGAGGCCGGGGGGGGAGGCCGGGGGGGGAGGCCGGGGGGGGAGGCCGGGGGGGGAGGCCGGGGGGGGAGGCCGGGGGGGGAGGCCGGGGGGGGAGGCCGGGGGGGGAGGCCTGGAGCAGGCCGTGGTGGGAGGCCCTGGTGGGAGGCCGAGGTGGGAGGCTGTGGTGGGAGGCTGTGGCTTTACACAGGAAGAGATTGGTGAGGCTCCATACTGACACAGGACAAGGAGCTGGGGAAGACAGGGTGTGTTTGGAAGTGATATGCTTCTGGATTTGGTGGATAATTTATGTGGAACCCAGGGTCTCTGTGGCTTCAGGGTCATGATGGACTCATAGCAGCTTTGAGAAGACAGACATCTACCATTGCCTCCAAACATTCACTAGACACAGCGTTGCGTTCCTCTTCGATTTCTGGTCCGTGTGAAGGGGCTTCGACTTTTGCATAACAGAGGTCTCCCAACAGGAAGTGATATGCTTCTGGATTTGGTGGATAATTTATGTGGAACCCAGGGTCTCTGTGGCTTCAGGGTCATGATGGACTCATAGCAGCTTTGAGAAGACAGACATCTACCATTGCCTCCAAACATTCACTAGACACAGCGTTGCGTTCCTCTTCGATTTCTGGTCCAGCTCACACTGTTCCATTCCCAGAATTCAGGATTCCACATTACACATAATGAAACACCCTCCCAGGGACGGGCAGGGCTCTTAGGTTTGTCTGTACTGCTGACTGGGTATAAGGAGAAAATGACTGCCTGCCAACTAGGCTTTGATTCATAGAGCATTGCATCAGAGGCTCAAAATCCCAACTAAGTCTATCACAAAGTGAGGCTAAAGCCATTCGCACCCTCAGCAAATATTTACTGTGCACTTTTCCTGGAGATGTGAACAAACACAGGGCTCTGTGACCGACCAAAGAAACGATTACACCCAGTCCAGCTTGGTGAACCAGTGAGTTTATTGAGGTTACTTACAGAAGCATGGGTGACCCAGAGGCAGCTGCATCACTGAAAATCCAACCCCATCACAGGTGACAGCCATAAAAGCTGCATCCCTGATCCTGGTCAACCTACAGGCAGCTCCTGCCCTCTGCAGCCCCCCACCCCTCCCCCACCTGGCACCAGCTGTTGATGGCTTTTGTAACTTGGGGAAGGAAGAAGCCTTGTAACCCTGGGCTTCCTGAGCCTCCATGTTCCCTTAGCCAGTCTTAGGAAACCCCACCTTCCTCTGTTTCAATTCCAAGGAAAGAGCTACCGGACTGCGGCGGCTACTTTCATCAAAGGTGTATTCTAACTGGGATGCAGCATGGACTCCCATAAAGTCAATGTAAACAGGTCACATCCAACATTTCCATTATTTAGTTATTTGAACCAAAAGGGTCCAGATTGGAGACTTTGCAACTTTGTTCCTCCAGATGTGAAGTACATTATTCAATGAAATCCAGGTAGGGACCCTTCCCACTAGGTAGTGGTTGGAGCCAGGGTGGCTTAGGCCGCTCTGGGCCCTGGGACCCTTTTGGCAGTCTCAAGGCTGCCCCTGTGGCTGACTTGTCACGGAAGCATCCATTCTGCCTTCCTTGTTTGCTCTTCCTTCATCCCCGGACTTTTGTATCTTTTAGCAAGGGCATTGTGGAGCCTCCAGAAGGGACAAAAATTTACAAGGATTCCTGGGACTTCGAGCCGTACCTGAACACCTTGAAAGCTGCTGTGGGAGACAAGATCTTCCTCAACTCATCCTGGATAAGAGAATACTTCACGTGGGCTGGATTTAAGGATTACAACTTGGTCATCAGGGTAGGCTGCTGAGTAGTCTCCGTCTCTGCCTTCTCCTACTGGGAAGCATTTATTAGTTTTCCTAATAAGCACTCACAAAGCCCTATGGTCTGTCCAGCAGAGGACAGAGGAACCATGTGCTGAATAGTTCTCCTGTGAGGGGCTGGAGAAATGGCTCAGCAGTTAGGAGCACTGGCTGTTCCTCCAGAGGACTGAGGTTCAGTTCCCAGCATCTACATGGCAGCTAACAACCACCTGTAACTCCAGTTCCAGGGGATCCAACGCCCTCTGCTGGCCTCTACCAGCATTGCATGCACATGGTGCACTTACACGCAGGCAAAACATACATATAAAAATCAAACAAATAATGTCTCCTTTGAAACTTTGGGGACTATTCTGAAACGCAGTGGTTTTTCTTTTTCATAATTTTCTCCTATCACCATGAATTAAAATTTTTTGAACTAGGAGGGCTAATGGGGGTGTACACCTTTAATCCCAGGCAGAGGCAGGGAGATCTCTGAGTTCAAGGCCAGCCCGGTCTACATAGTGAGTTCCAGGCCAGCGTGATCTACATAGTGAGTTCCAGGCCAACTTGATCTACATAGTGAGTTCCAGGCCAGCCTGATCTACATAGTGAGTTCCAGGCCAGCTGGAACTTTTTTGAGACCCTGTCTCAAAAAGGCCAAAAAAATTGATTTGAATTAGCATACAAATAACAGACTTCCTCGGGACTTTTCATCCTACTTGTGGTTGGTTCTCCCCCACCCCCAGACCCCCATCCTCGAGCCCCCATCCCTTCCACTTTCATGGATATGTGCTCTATCACTTCTCCACCTCCCTCCCTTGGGTTGTGGGGGTTTTGTGTTGGTTTTGGTGTTCGGCATGTCAGAAACACTTAAACTGCAAGGCTAGAGGGAGTCTGCAGAGGGATGGCGACCTGGAGCAAGGTGAGACAGAAGCAGGCGGTTCATGCCTGCTGCAGTTCTGAGGACCAAATAGCACAGACCAGGAGGCTGTGAACTTACCCCAGCCATGGGCACTGAGCAACGAACCAAGAGTTTGGGTTGGACACTAGTCACCACCACTGGAGCGTTTCCAAAGCAAACTGGGCTGGAGATGGAGCTCAGTGCCAGAGTGCTTACCTCACACACAGGAGGCCCCAGTTCAATCCCCAGTATGACAGAAATCAAACCAAGCACCACCAGACAGGGACTGCAGGGAAAGAGGCCTGAGGTGACCAGTTGTCCAAGCAGTGTCTCAGCCATGCCTGCCTTAGGGTCAGTGCTTGAGGTTATTCAAGGAGCAGTCTCAGGGACACTAGGGTATGGACAACCTACAGTCACCAGCAGATACTGGCTATTTTCAGAGAAGGGCCTTTCCCAAGTTTATGTCCAGCCCCTGAGCATCAATACTGTGCCACACTTGCTGTGCGTCAAAGTTGACATTCTCAAGAACCTGCCTCAGGGTCTGTGCCAGCTGTGACAACGTTTTCCCTGATCAGCAGTGAAGTGACCACCCTGTAAGGCACACGATGATTCAAAGACAGCGATTCTCCTTTCTCGTTTCAAGATGACAGTGCTTCTGTTATTGAAACGTTCAAACGTTCTTCCTTTAATGGCATAAGAGAGCAAATCTTCACTTGGAAAAATATTGTAAAAGTGTTAGTACTTTATTAACTCTCATATATATGTATATATATAAATCCAAAGCCTTAGGAGACTGATATTTTCACTTGGGTAATTAGTTTGAAAATGAGAAAAACTTGGAATTTTCAATAAAGTATTTCTAGTCAGCGGCTCCATGATGGTGAGATGAAGTCCATGTTGCGTGTCCCCTATGGGAAGTCTCCTCTCTGTCACCGACATTAGTGAAGTTCATGTTGCGTGTCCCCTATGGGAAGTCTCCTCTGTGTCACTGACATTAGTGAAGTTCATGTTGCGTGTCCCCTATGGGAAGTCTCCTCTCTGTCACTGACATTAGTGAAGTTCATGTTGCGTGTCCCCTATGGGAAGTCTCCTCTCTGTCACTGACAGTAGTGAAGTTCATGTTGCGTGTCCCCTACGGGAAGTCTCCTCTCTGTCACTGACAGTAGTGAAAGGAGAAGTTTTGCTGATGTAGAAGACAAAGATTGTAATATATCATTCAAGAGAGAGGAGAAAGTGGGACCGAGAGAGTGGGGGGGAAGGAAGGAGGGAGAGACCAAGGGGGGAGGGACAGGGGAGG